CACGGCAGCGCCCTCCAAGGGGAAGCAGGAGACTCAGCTATTACCCAGGGCCCTGACCACGAGGGGCCAAGCGCCCCAAAGCGCCGGGCTCGCCACCCTGCGAGACACCAGGCCCAGCCTGGCCCCCGCCCAGGTCCCCTTCCCGCCGCCCCGGCGGTACCTGGAAGTAATCGAACATGGCCTGCTTGACGTAGCCGATGTCATGGGGAGGCGCCTCCAGGTTGTCCAGGCAGTCGAACGATCTTCACGTTCCCGCCGCCCCGGCGGTACCTGGAAGTAATCGAACATGGCCTGCTTGACGTAGCCGATGTCATGGGGAGGCGCCTCCAGGTTGTCCAGGCAGTCGAACACGATCTTCACGGCCTGGTGCGCGATCCAGAACGCTGCCCAACAAGAGGCCAGCAGTTAGGCTGGGCTGAGCTGCCGGGCCCGGATCCCACAGCGCCAATAAAGGATGTGATTATGGGGAGAGGACAGGCCAGTAAAACACCCACAAGCCACCATTACAGAGCCAAGAAATGAAACATTAACAGGCAAAATTGTCAGGAAATGCAAAACATTGAAAAGTAGGGGAAGTACCCAGATAACCTTAACTCTGCCCCTTTTCAGCCTCCCAGCTTTGCTCCTTTCCTAGCTTCTCCAAGGGCTTGTCTATATAGGGAAACTGACCAGGATAGCAACAACACTTTCAATTCACACCTACTTTGTCCCAGAACAGCTTCCCCATGCAGAGAAGCCCCAAGAAGTGTTATTTTTGGCTCAAGAGCTGTAGGAAATCCACAGCCCCTGGCTTTAATTGTGAATAGCAGCCGCACTTGGACAGCTTTGCAGGCGGAGAACTGAAAATGTGCCCCGTGGTCGATAACGGGTTTTGTGTCTCCCCTGCAGAGATGCTGGTTCCGTGTCTCATGACTTAGCTCACAGGGAATCGTAGGGCCCAGTTCCATCAAATGCAAAGAACCCCCAGGATCATCCCTGGCCGCCCCCAGCCTCCCTAGGGCGCTCCAGGGCGACTAGCCTTCGAAAGGCCCTTTGGCCGAGGACTTAGATCGTTACGATTCCAAGCAGCAGGCGGGGTCTTTTTCAGGGGGCGAGGCCACACGCCCTGTTTATTAATACGGTAGGAATCGCAGCATACGCATTTCCACACAGTCAGACACACAGGCGCAGCACACATCCTGCAGGCGACTTGTAGTGACCAGTCTGCCGTGGCTCAAGTCGGTGTTACCGGCCACGTCGGACTGAACACGAGTGAGGGGTCGGGGTTAAATCCATCGCAGTTCGAGGCTCCTCTTTGCAAGCTCAGCCTCGAAGGAGCCTCGCGTCACGGTCGATTACAGACCGGCCACTACAGACCATCCGCGGGAGCGGGAGGAAACGCGCGTTAAGAAACGTGACGTGTTGCGCTCTCCCCGGGAACTGATCCCGTCTGCTCCCCAAGCCGGCTCGCTCCGGAGGGCGGCGTGAGAAACGCCAGCAGGCTCCGCAGCGCTCCGGCCCCTCGCCAAGCGCCCCCCCAGCCTTACCTGACCCCTCGTCTCCCATCATGTGACCCCCCCCCCCGCCCCGTCGGGGTTGATGAGTTTACAGTTGGAGCCGGTTCCCGAGATCAGCACCACGCCGCCTGCGGGGCAAAGGGAGGCGCTTACGGGCCTGACGCGGGCCGGCCACCCAGCGCCAGCCCCGGCCCCACGAGGCCACGGAGCTCGCCCTGCTCCTGAGCTGTCCCCAGTCTGCCACAGGGAGGTAATTCCCACCCCCAAGCCCGGGCAGGCCCACGTGGGAACGCGCACGCCCCTAGTGGTGGCACTGCCAGCACACCGGTTGCTCCTTGCGGGCCTGGGAAGGTGGGGCGCTGCTGTGGGGACCCTTCCTGCACCAACAATCTGCAGCCAACAATCCCTGCCCCCGCCGGGACCCGACGCCAGTGAGCTACCACGTCACGTGGCTCTGCCTAGGGGCCCAGCCCAGCCCGGATCCAGGGGCACCCTCACGCCACGAGGGTCCCCTGTGAAAGACCCAGTCATACCCCTCGGTGCAGGGATCTGACCCTGCGACGGCCGGTTCCCTGGGAGCCTCCCGCACCCCACGCCTGGGACACCCAGGGGCTCCCAACAGGAGGCCGGCGACAGCGTCCGTTCCCGCCCGGACACAGCGCTCCGGGTCCGCCCCCCGCGCGGGCCTTGCCGTGGTCGGTGGCCGTGGCCATGGCCCCGATGGCGTCCGTGGTGATGTAGTAGGCCTCGCTCAGCTGCGGGAACCGGGTCTGCAGCTGCTCCACCAGCTTCTTGATGGCGTCTTTCTGCTCGCCCCCGCTCAGAGACAGCCCCTGCGCCAGGGCACGCCCGGACACAGCGCTCCGGGTCCGCCCCCCGCGCGGGCCTTGCCGTGGTCGGTGGCCGTGGCCATGGCCCCGATGGCGTCCGTGGTGATGTAGTAGGCCTCGCTCAGCTGCGGGAACCGGGTCTGCAGCTGCTCCACCAGCTTCTTGATGGCGTCTTTCTGCTCGCCCCCGCTCAGAGACAGCCCCTGCGCCAGGGCAGGCCGCGTGAGTCCCACGTCCCGCAGCCCCCCCACTCCCACGTCCCGCAGCCCCCCGACAGCGGCGCCGGGCAGCCCCCAACTCCTCCAGCCCAGGGCTGGCCGTTCCCAGCCCGCTGATCACCCCCCTCCCCTTGCTCTCCAGCCCGTTCCTTACACCGCGGCCCCTGGCCTCCCCCGGCAGCAGGGAAACGACACCCCAAGGACTCAGTCTGAGGCCAGAGCCCCCGTCTCCTGGCCTGGGCTCTAACTCACCAGCGAGCGGAGGGGGACCTGCGGGTTGGCGCCTGCCTTCCCTTTGGCCTCGCTGACCATCTCGTTGATCCTCTCCAGGCATTTGTCCGAGCCGACCAGCTGGCCAGGGAGGGGGCAGGACAAACAGACGTTTCCTATTAAACCCTCCAGCAGCTTCCCTGCGACGCCCTCCCCATCCCCCCCGGCCCAGTGTTCCCTGTAAGCTCAGCCACCCAGGAGAGGAGAGAGGTGCGGCCCAGCTGATTAGCAGCGCATCCACAGCATGTGTGTCTACTGGTGGTGCACATCCGCACATGCCTCGGTGCACAGAACAATATTTATTCTGCACATGGATGGAAAAAATTCAAGGGAACCCTGCCCCCCAGGGACTAACATAGACTAGAGCCAGCGATCGCTCCTTCCCGCCCACCCCACTCAGCAGTGATTGGCTCCGGGGTCTCGGGGGGGGGGGCACTCCCATCGCCACATCCACTAGGCGCCCTTGACTGGTCCAGGAGCCAGGCACAGGGCTCCTCGTGCAGCGTCTCAGCCACCCCCTGCTCGTGCTGCTATCGCTTCCTCTAGGCCGGCTCCTGCCCCCCTGCAAACCCAGCCATGCTCCCAGAAGCCCAGGCGTGCAGCCAGCCCCGCTGTCTCCCCCCTCGGGGCTTTTGCCAGCCGCGCTCCGGCTCCCACCTCTTCCCAGCTGAGCTGTGCCGGCCACGCTCACGGCGCGACCCGCAGGCGGCTGCTGCGCGTCAATCCAGAGCTGGGCTCCTGGGGAACCGATCCGGATTTAGGACCCTGCCAAGGAGCCCAGAGACTTGGGGGACTCGGCCCCGTCGCTGTGGGAGCCTGGCCGAGGACTGACGGCGTCTAGTTAGCTAACGTGGTCTAGGTGCTTCGAACGGCCTGCGCCCCCATCCGGCTTCAACCTCACCCGCCCAGCGGGGCCTCGCGCAACACGTGTCCGCAGGGCCAGCAGGCCCGTTCTCAGACCCCGGAAATTAGCGCTCCCACGGAATCGTGGCCACCAGTGCACTCTGGGTAACGACATGCAAATTAACCCCCCATCACCTGCATGCTGGCGTCCTCTCCGGCCCAGCAGCACCACCCCCCGTCCCTCTGGCCCCGGCTAATCGCGGCGCGAGGCGTACCCAATGGTTAGTGCAGGGCCCGTCGGTCTCTGCCAGGATCTTGCCATCTTCCGATATCAGCACCACCTTGGAGTGGGTGCCCCCCCTGTTTCGGGGGGAAAAGAGGGGCCATGAGAACAGCTTGCAAGTGGCTAAAAGGGGGCTCCAAGGAGGAGGGAGACAAATTGTTCCCCTTGGCCTCTGAGGACAGGACAAGAAGCAAGGGGCTTAAACGGCAGCCAGGGAGGTTTAGGTTGGACGTGAGGAAGAACTTCCTGCCTGTCGGGGGGGTTAAACACTGGTGTAAATTGCCCAGGGGGGTTGTGGAATCTCCATCCCTGGGGATATTGACGAGCAGGTTGGACACACCTGCCAGGGATGAGCTAGACCATCTGTCTCCATGAGATCACTTTTTAATTGAAGTGCAATCCAGGCTCTACCCCAAACCCAAACATGCTTGCCCTGCCTCCTTCCCACCCCTTCTCCAAGGCCCTACCCCTGCTCACCCCGTCCTTCCACCTCCCCCATCCTCATTCACTTTGATCCGACGGGGGGCAGAAGGCTGGGGTGCGGGAGAGGGGAATGCAGCCTCGGACCTTGAGCTAAGAGATCTGGAGTGTGGGAGGGATGCTGAGCGGAGGGAGTTGAGCAGCAGGGGGGTTCAGGCTCGGGGAGGCAGGGCTAGGGCAGGGATTTGGGGTGCAGGAGGGGTTCAGAACTGGGGTGGCTGTGGGCTCCAGCTGGGCACCGCTTACCACAGGTGGCGACTGGGTGGTGATGCAGGGGGCTAAGGCAGGCTCCCCCTACCCCCAAAAGCAGCCGGCACACTCTCTCCATCCCTGCCCTCCCCTCCCCCCCAACTACGTGGAGATGGGGTACAGAGTGGGGGGAGGGGCACCCTAACTTCAGCACCCCGTCCTCTTCTTCTTGTTCCCTGCACAGCAAGCAAGAAACTCCCAGGGAGCTCCAGGCAGAGGCAGCAGAAGTGCCGGCACTTGACAGACACCTGTCAGGATCACATGTCAAGGGCTCCAAGATCTACCAGTCGATCCCCATCTGCCGGTTGGTGACCCCTGCTCTAGACGGTGCTTGGTCCTGCCGTGAGGGCAGGGGACCTCTCGAGGTCCCTTCCACTGCTGGGATTCTGGGATTCCCAGCTCCTCTCCCTCCCATTGCTCCCACCGCGGGAGTTCCCGGGCCAGCCGCAGCCAGCTGTCGGCCTTGCTCCGCTCTCCCCACGCGGCTGACTCCCACGGGAGGCCGGTGGGTCTGTCTTCCGGCCTTGCGCTACGGGGGAGGATCCTGCAGAAGGGCGTGTGCGGGGGATGGACTGGCTGGCCCCGGCTGAGGCAGAGAGACCTTTGCCTCTTAAGTGGTTGCTGGGATTTCAGCTCAGGTTCATAGTAACATCCCTGGCACACGTGACATGAGCTTGCAAGGTCTCGGGGCAGCTCCCCCCGCCAACGCTCGACAGCCCCCAGACTGCGCCACGCAGCCCTAGAGCTGGTCCCTCCCTCCCTCTCTCTGCGAGCAGAACAAGGCTGGCGGGTTCAGGACACGTTGGATTTGAACACGCGGGCTGGGATTTCAGCTCAGGTTCATAGTAACATCCCTGGCACACGTGACATGAGCTTGCAAGGTCTCGGGGCAGCTCCCCCCGCCAACGCTCGACAGCCCCCAGACTGCGCCACGCAGCCCTAGAGCTGGTCCCTCCCTCCCTCTCTCTGCGAGCAGAACAAGGCTGGCGGGTTCAGGACACGTTGGATTTGAACACGCGGGCTAAGGATGCAGTTTGGTACCCAGAATCAACCCCCTGCCCATGGCTGTGATGCTCCAGCCTCAGG